TTATAAATTTGTGTTTATTGTTTTCTTAGAAAAAAATACGCAAATAAAAATAATTATAAATTGAAAAATAGCGGATTTTAGTGACCACGTTTTGTCGGTTATCGTTATAAAGTAAATCTTTTTTTTAAGGTAATCCTAAATGCTTTTTTTTCTTAATAATTTTATTACAAATTTTTTAAAATAAGATTTAATAAAACTTGGCTTAATTTTGAGAGCATCGTTGTACATTCAGTTGATTAAAAATAACATGAAATTTGTTGCTATTTAAGTAGATCATTACTTTAAATGATTTACTGTTAGTATTATTATTATATTTTATTTTTCTGTTATAAAAAGTAGTAACATTAAGTAGTTTTAAAAAAAAAAAAAATTTATATTTACTTGAAATTAATAATAAAGTGGTTAATATTGCAATGTTTAATTAATATAAAAATTTTAAAATGTTTTTCCTTTTATTTTTAGTAAAATGAGTGAGGAAGAAACATCAGCATTTGCAGTTTATGCCAAAAGAAATATTAAAAAAAAAAATATTAATAATATAGGGTTTGATAAGAAATCACTGAAAAAATTTAAAAAAAAAAAAAGTAAATCTCTGCAAAATAATGTAAGTGTTCATAATGATAATGTTAAAAAGCTTTTTAAAAATGAAGATTTATCGAAAAAGGCTAACACAAAAGTGAAGGACTCTTTAAAAAACAAAACAATAATAACAAATAAAATAACTACTCCTGCTGAAGAAATAAATTTTACAAATGAAAATAATTCAATCGATGAAAAAAACAATCGAATAATCAAATCCGATAAGATTATAAATGGTGATAATGTTTCAATTAAAATTAAGGATAACCACAAAAAGTTAAATGGGTTCAAATCTGAAGAAAAGGAAACGAAAAAGAAAAAAGTGATGGAAAAAAATAAAATTTTAAATTTTATATATGAAGATAGTAAAAAAGTAGGAAAAAATTTACTTGCTTGGATTTTATCTCCTATTAAAGTAAAAGAATTTTTTGAAAATTTTTGGGAAAAAAAACCTTTATACATTAGTAGAAACAACAATGAATATTATAATGAATTGTGTTCAATGAATGCTTTTGAAAAAGCTTTAAGTGAAAAAGATATGTACTTTACTAAAAATATTGATGTTACTTCTTACATTGATGGCCAGAGATTTACAGAAAATCTAGATGGAAAAGCTACAGTTTCAAATATTTGGGATTTTTTTAATGAAGGGAAAAGCATAAGGTTATTGAATCCACAAACTTTTATACCAAATGTTTGGCTTTTAAATACTAACCTTCAGGTTTGTCAATATAATATTATGTAAATATTTCAGGTGCTTTATAAAAAAATAATAATAATAATCAAAATTTCTAATTGCCATTATTAAATTTTCTGTCACTCAAATGTTAAAATTATTATTTTTTTTTTTTTTGTTAATATATTATATTTTAGGAATTTTTTAATTGTTTTGTTGGAGCTAACATGTACTTAACTCCAGCTGGAACTCAGGGTTTTGCACCTCATTATGATGATATAGAAGCCTTCGTTCTTCAACTGGAGGGACAAAAGCACTGGAAAGTGTATAATCCTAGGTTACTATATTATATTTAATAATCAATTAAATACTTATGGATATAAAATATTAAAGATGGAGGAAATATGGAGAAATATTTTTTGTTTTCATCAGAAAAATTATGTTTCTAGAGATTCAAGTGAAGTATTAGCGAGGGAATCATCAAAAAATTTTAAAGAAGATGAAATTGGAAAACCAATATTAAAAGTAACATTGAAACCAGGTGATATGTTATATTTTCCAAGAGGTTACATTCATCAAGCCAAATGTTTACCTGATACACATTCTTTGCATTTGACTGTATCCTGCTATCAAAAAAATTCTTGGGCAGATTTATTCGAAAAAGTGAGATTTTCAAACTTTTTTTTTTTTTATTTAAATGATTCATTAACAGAAATTTGCTTTCAGTAATAATATTTAAGGGTTTAAAAAAAAAAAAAAAAGTAAATGAAATTTTTTTTTTTCAAGTAGATATTTCCAGTAGCTTTACAAAAAGCAATTTTCGAAGATGTTGAATTTAGAAAAGGATTACCCATCGGATATTTAAATCATATGGGAATGATGTTTTCTGAAGAAAATAATGAATTTAGACAAAAATTCATTCAAAAATTTAACGAACTCGGTAGAAAAGTTTTAGAAATGTGTCCAATTGATGCCGGTGTTGATCAATTGAGTACAAATTTTATTCACGATGCATTACCGCCATGTTTGACTGAAGGTTTTTTATTTTTTATTTTTTTTTTTGGAAAAAATAAATTTTTTTTTCTATTATTAATTTAAATGTTTGTTTTTGTTTTTCAGATGAAAAATTATACGGGGGTGACCGAAACGTAAAACTTCCAGATAAAAATTTTTTACACATTTTAAAAAATACATCAAATACAAATTTAGGAGTTAAATTGATCAGGGCCACGTCGGCGAGGTAAATTTTTGTCTTTTTTATTTTCATTGTTTAAAAAAAAAAAAAAAAGCGACGGTTATCCGAGTTTTTGTTCTTGACATTAAATTTTTTTTTTTTAATTTCCGCATAATAAGAATAAATAAATTTTTTTTTTCTTGTTAGATTGGTGTGCGAAGAAGATGAAATATATTTATATTACACAACAGATAATTCTCTTTCTTATCACGAAACGGAAGTAAACCGTTGTCAAATTTCCACGAGTTGGGCAGTCGCCGTAGAACATTTGATTCGAAATTATCCAAATTTTGTAGAAATGAAAGATTTGCCTGTAAATAATAATAATAATAAGGTTGGAAATTGGAAAGAAATAACAAAATTTGTTTATTTCCTATGGCAAAAAGGATTAATTTTATTTAATATGCCTTTAAGGGCAATCAATTGAGAAAATTAATAATAATAATAATAATTTTTTATTAACTACTCGGTTAAAAGTAGTCGATAAATAATATTTGTACAAGAAAATTAATTTTAAAAAAAATTTTTTTAGTAAAGGAAACCAACCAGTTAAAAAAAAATTTATTTTATTTACATAAAATTTTAGTCTTATTAATTTAATGAACGAATTTTTTTTTAAATTTTTTTTTATAAAATTTTAAATAATGATATTATGGAGTAAACAATAATTTTACACGCAATTAATATTTACATAATATTTTTATTTATTTTTTATTATCGAATTGGAAATTTTTTTATTAAACTATTAAATTGTTGAATAAATATCACTAATAATTCAATGCATGAGTTTTTTTTTTTTTTTTAAATAACAAATTATTTACGAAACTTTTAGGATTTAAATTTTTCCTCAGATTTAAATTTAAAAAAATTATTTTTCCCTTTCTCTTAATGCCCTCTGACTTGAGGGCTTTGAATACTTAAAATTGCGGAATGATTTGGCCTCAATAACGGAACCATAAATTGTAGTATTGTAAAATAAGGATGCTTTGGGTCAAACTAGTGTCAGGTGTTGTTGCGAAAATTTTTTTTTTTTTTTTTTTTTTTCATTTGCTCAATAATCCGCTCATAATCATTTTTATAAAAAAAAATTTTTTTTTTTAAATTAAAAATAAAATAGAAACGAAAATAACAACAACAACAAAAAAGGAGGAAAAAAATTTTAAATCAAAATTTGTCATATTGTTTATGAAAGGATTGAAATAATAATAATAAGAATGATAATTAAATTTTTATATCATGTATTATTATTATTATTAAAATTTGAAAGTATTTAATTAAATTCATGTTTGCCATTTTTAAATTTTTGGTGAGTACATATTAATTACACAATTGATACCCCTTCATTTTGTTTTTATTTATTTATTTTTTTTGTTATAAAGTTACAGATGAGGACGTCCTCGAAGAGCAGAAGAAAAAGAAAAAAAAAATTTTTTTTTCTTTCTACTCTCCTTTCTTGCCCGGAAGAATGCAATCGTTTTTCCTTCCAGCCAACGATCAGTGATTGCGTAAAAACCGTTACATCATTGAAGCAGACACTTAAAAAAAAAAAAAAACAAGTAATGCCAATGATCTAACCAAAGTCTTACATACCTACTAACATTTTTAAATGTGTTACTCGACCCAGATAAAACCAACCATTTTTTTTTTTTTCTTTTTTTTTTTTCTTCATTGAATTTTAGCAGAGTCAGAAATTTAAAATCGTCGTCGTTATTTAAAAAAAAAAAAGGAAAAAAACTTGCTACGTTTCAAGTAATAATTTTTTTTTTTTTTTGTTTGAATCATGCTTCAAAGAGTAAGACTTTTTAAATAATAATAATAATAATAATAGGTTTTACGTAAAAAAAAAAAGGAAAAGACAAATAGGAGGTATGATCTTTTATATGTACATAATACAAAAATTTATTTTTATTAAAGAATAAATAAATAAAATTTGACATTATACCTATTTAATAATAATAATAATATTATTTATTTTAAATTTAAAAATTTAGCAACATGATCAGGTCTCTCTCTCTCTCTCTCTCTTTCTATTTTCAAATTATTATACCTGATAAATTTAATCATAATCATAATATGTGATGCAATTTAAAAACCGTGAGATAAAAAATCGTTAAAATTTTATAACACTTCCTAAGTTTTTTTTTTTTAATTAATCATAAATAATAATAATTATTATTATTATTTATTGTTTATGTACTTATGTATTTTTTTTAAAAATTAATTAACGAAATTATTATTGATGATAATAACAATAACGTTATCAATACAAACACATTTAAATTTTATAGAAACATCATTTATTATTATTATTAATATGAGAAAAAATTAACTTCCGGTTTTGAAAAAGACAACATAAAAAAAAAAAAAAACTCGAAGCAGAAAAATCGGAGGTCAAATAATGATGATGATAATGATGATAAAACTAAGGCCATTGTCCTGTCTGTCACCAATGTGAGTATTTAACCATAAAAAAAATTTTTTGTATTTTTCTCGCACCATCGTCATCATCATCATTATTATTATAATTATCGTAGATTTATATATATTGATTAAATAAATGTGTAAATATCGGTGGCCGTTATTATTTTCAGGTTGAGGTTCAAAAGGTCAAATGTCATAATATGTTTTTTTTTCTTTTTAAACTGACGTAACAATTACATCAGCTATTTAAATAAAAAAAAAAAAAAATTGCCACATTTTTTGTTTTTTTTTAATAAAATATATTTATTATTTATCGAAATCTTTGACAATTATAAATATATAGTAAGGTCTTAAGAATAGTGTCGAATCAATATTGTTTGATTTCCGGTTGACCGAGATTCATCTAAATTCTGCCCAAGTTTTATTTCCTGTTGATAATGCAAACTTTGACCCAAATCGAATTTAAAAAGTCACGTATTCAAATAACAAAAAAAAAAAAAATTTTTTTCCTGTTTTTTTTTTGGGAAATTTATATATATTTATTATAATTAAAATGATTTTAACCGACGGTATACGTAGGTATCTCTTTTAATAATAATAATACCTGATTTTCAAACGTCAAGGTCTTTTTTTTTTTATAAATAATTTATTTTATATTTATATATATATTTGATTTCTCCCACTCCACTCTTTCAAATTGTTGTTTAAAGTCAATATAACGGTAAATAATAATAATATTAAAAAATGGCGGGAAATAAATTCGCGATAAATAAATATAATTACAATAGGCGGAAGAGAAGGACAAAGAAAGAAAAAGAGAGAGAGAGAGAGAGAAATTATCATTTGTTTTGTTAATTTTTGTTATTATTATTATTACCACCACTTACTCCTCCTCCTCCACTACCACCTACTCTTGCCCCTCCTCCTCCTCCTCCTCCGCCATGATGAAATTTCGCAAACAATAAAAAAAAAAAGAATTTTTTTTTTGGAAATTCTTTTTGTTGTATGACGTGAAGGAGCCAAGAGGCTCATATATACTCACGAGGAGTGGCACAATCAGGAAGTAAAAAAACCATAAAGAAGTATTTAAGTGGTTGATATTGAGTTACGAAAAACCAAGTTTGGATTTCTATTGTTTGTTCCGTTAATATATATATATACAGGTGAAGAGAAGAGAAGAGAAAAAAATCAACATTTTTATATCATTCGAAAATCATCATCATCATCATCATCATCATAATTATATCAAATCTAAAAATTTGAGAAGAAAAAAAAATTTTTTTTTTAATTGTCATTTATAGAACAAAAACTATAAAGAAATAAGAGAAGTTTATGACAACCTTTAAAAATGGCGCATAAAAAAAAAAAAAAAAAACAAAAATTCTTCTGCCACGTATTCAACTATGTTTATACTCATCATTATTTGACATCCTATTGTCCAGTTCAAATGAATAGATTTCAACCGTAAAAAAAAAAAAAAAACTGCGTGACATCTGCGTTTATTATTATTATTATTATTATTTCTTTATTTATTTAAATATTTTCTTTTCATAAAAAAAATTTTTTTATAATACTTTTTGTGTTGATAATATGTAATCTAATACTTGTGAATACGTAATAAATTTAAAAAAAAAAAGACAAAATTTGATTGGAAACCTGCATCGATGATGATGATGATGATGATTTTTGAGTACGAAATAAAACAAAAAAAGGTTTGTATATGTTTTTAGTTTAAAAATCAAACTTGAATCAAGATGAAAATTTTTTTTTTAAACAATAAGTTAATGAAAAATCAAAGAATTTTTTTTCCATGTCAAAGTTCACGTAAAAAATTAACCTCAAATCTTTTTTAAATATAAAATTTAAAAATGAAAGAACGTTAAAAAAAAAAAATTCTTTATATAAAAAATGTGCGTAAAGATTATGTTGTGTAACAAAATCTTTTTTAAAAAAAAAAAAAAGGGAAAATTTTATTCTCAGCCTTTATGATTTATAGAAATAAAAAAAAAAAAATTCGGGGGGATGATTTATAAAAAAAATTTAGGGTAAAAAAAAAAAAAAAAGTTTTATTGTCGTCGGGTACGGTAAATAAAAAGATGAAATAATTTTTGTGACCCGTCGGGGAGGGGGGGAGCGGAGGGGAATATGGTAATATTATATTTAACAAAATTTTTCGTTTGTGTACCTGAAAAAAAAAGGTTCTTTTCTTTTTTTTTGTAACCATAGAGTTTTATAAAAACTATACCGAACAATTAATTAAGGGATTATTTAAAAAAAAATTATTTAGATATAAATAGTTAAAAGGTTTTTTTTATTAATAATAATGATAATAATATGTTTAAAAATTTATTGAAATATTTCTAAAAGTTTTTTTTATTTTTCGATTCGAATTTTGGAAAATTTTCCTTTTTTTTTATATCTCTTATCAATATTATTAGTTTTAGTATTGTAACAAAACGGTTTATTTCAAACTGATAAAACTTATTATTATTAACGATAAACGTCACTAAATAATAATAATAATGAATCCAAACGAAAATAAAAAATAGAAAATGTTTTTTCATAACACACACACACACAAGAGAAAAAAAAATTTTTTCTTTTAAAAGGGAAAAAGGAAAAAAAAAGTAGAGAGAAAAAAGGCTGTCATCATCGTAGCAGGATTCGAATTAATTTCCGTTTGATATTGATTGTGCTGACGTCAGAGTTTGAAACCGGAAGTGCCGGGGCCGGAGCTTAGCTGCGGAAGCAAAAGGGAGGCCGACATTCTATTTCCGGAGGATGCCGGAAGAGTGCTTGGTGCCGAGATGTTCGCTATTCTCCAGCGCTCTTCCGTTCGGAAGTTTTCCAGCTCTAAAAAAAAAAAAAAAAAATATTTTAGCTCGGTTTTTCATTTGACTCGACTTTTTTTTCTTCTTTCCTTTCCTTTTTTTTTTTTTTTTGTTCGAAGCAGAGTTTGTAAAACGTTATTTTAGGCGCGATTAAAAAAAAAAAAATTTATTATTC